AAAAAAAAGGACAGGAGAGAGGAAATGTAAGTGCAGGCAGCCTTTTTGAGGAGATCTGGCTTTAAAGAGGGGCAGGGACGTGGGACAGGAGCTTGGGTGCAGGGGCAGGAGGGCAAGCGTGAGCTTTTTAAGATGGAGGGGCCAGCAGCAGCTGTGATATTGCCAGAGAGTGGGGCTGTCTGTGGGGGCAGCAGCCTGGACCGTTGCCTGGCCTCCTGGAAGCACCTGCAGACAAGAGGTCTCAGCTCCGGGCCCCACCCTTCCCTCTTAGTGCTGGGGTAAGGGGCTCTGAGGGACAGCCTCTTTCCCCATGGCTTCCCAGACATAGCAAGGTGTTCGAAGAGGGTCCTGGTGCCTGAGGCTTTGGAGGCCCCAGAGCACGTGTGCTAATACTCAGGTACACACTGGGATTTTCAAGGAGCCAGTATAGTGGAGGAGGAACCACGGAGCCAGTGTTTGGAGGGGGCGGTGGCGGGACTGGACCTCTGGGGCCTGTGGTGGGCCTTAGCTCAGTAACTGGTGACCCCTTTGCCCTCTGAGCCTACTTTTCATCCCGTTGTGAATATCAGATGAGATCATACACATGGAAATGCTTGTCAACTAAAACAGCACAAACACAATGTAATGAATTATTATTATCCCATTAATGTCATGGTTCAGGAAATGAGGTATGTGGGCTCTGTTGGGCGTGCCTGGGAACCTAAACCCCTGTGGTGTCGTTCCTGTGGGCAAGTGTCTAGCGCGTGCAGGTGCCGTCTGACAAGTCAACTTCACTCTGTGAAAGTCGTGCTCTGCCCTGATGGGATCAACGGCCAGGGTGGGGCGGCGCAGTGAAGAGGGCTCTTACCTTTCGCCCCCACGTCCATCCGTCAGACCGCAGCCTTTGCCTGGGCCAGGGTCCCCATGTAGGGGTGAGTGCCTCTCATGCTCCTGCCTGTGGCAGGGTGGCCCTTTGTGGACCAGTGCCACCTACACTGCAAGTTGGGACAGTGGAGATACTCGGAGAATTGCCCATTTGGTGAAGATCCCCCAACAGTAGTTCTCCCCTGATCGCTTTGCCTGACTGCACTCTTCCTTTCTTGGTCTTAGGTGACTCCCCGGACGGCGCAACACCAAAGCTCTCGCGGGCGCAGCGGCCGCAGTCGTGCACGTCAGTTGGCAGGTGAGTGACGCTGGTCCGCTTCCTCTCTTTATTGCTGTAGAGTGACTCGTGCATCCGCTACCCTCAAGCATTTGGTAACCCTGCAGCCTGGCCTGCACATCTGGCTTCAGTGCCAGTCTCTTGGGTGCAGGCTGAGCTCCTGACCTGTACCAGCCCCTTTTAGATCTACTGCAGACTTAAGACATCTGAGACTTCCGTGATGCAGTACGGCGTTTCCCCGCCCTGAACTGGTGTGGTTGCCACTCCAGGCTGCATAGCAGAAGCCCCTCCAGCACTCTTAGGACTGCCCACGCCCGTGCCCAGCCCGCTCCAGGGGTTCTGATTCGGTTCATCTAGTCTGGAGGCCAGCAGCTGGATTTCCTAAAGCTTCTGGGTGACTGTGACTTGTCCCGCAGTCGAAGAGCACTGGCGTGGCGCCGTGATTCTGACTTGGCTTTGAATCCCGGCTCCACCACTTCCTGGTCTTTGATCCAGTATAAGTTCCCAAATGTTGCTGACCTTTTTCCTCATGTCGAGTAGGGATGGCCCAAGCTCAGCACAGCAGGTACCGCAGACAGTAAGAAAATGTGCAGATGCACACGCAGGAGTTGCTCAGGTAGCAGCCCCACCCCCACCGTCCCCTGAGCCCCGGTGCAGCTCTGTGGACCCTGGCACAGCACAGGAGAGCTCGCACTGGTGCCCTTTAGCCTGTGTGCACCTCAAAGTCTCCTGTGTGGAGCTGGGCAGCAGGAAGGACACTCAGACCCCCCGGACCAGCATGGGGTCCTGGTGCCAGTGTGTGACCAGGCGGGCACTGCTCTGGGCCTTGCTGAGGTGGAGTGGGCAGAGTAAGCCTGGGCTAGGACACCGGAGAGGGTGCTGCTGGCTCTGCCACGGACCAGCCTGGGGCCGCTTGCAAGTCTTTTGATGACTCTGGGCTTTAGTTTCCTCCTGTGTGAGCTCAGGACACGCCTTGCAAGGTCGAACCAGCCAGTCCCTCACGTGCTGCGTGTGGTGCAGTGCTAAGCTGCTGTCCCTCCCACGCATGGTGGTGAAGAGCAAAGACCAGACCCAGGCAGCCACTGGTCACCTCACTTGCCTCTCTGTGCCTCAGTTTCCTCAACTCACCCAGGATTACTTTGAGGATTACATTTGTCAGAATTTTTTCTTTTTTTTTTTTTAATCCAAAATGTGTTTACTGAGATGGTTTCCCACTCATCTTGATTCAGAGTGCTTTTAGTGCCGCTTCCTCCTAAAGGAACATCCTTCTGTAAGCCTTGCTCTTCCTCCTGTAGGCTGGCAGAGGACAGTGGAGCAGCCAACACACAAAACTACCGTTTGTGCACGGCTAAAGACCGTGGTGATTTTATAGCATCCTGGGCATGTCACATCCATGAAGTAGGAATTGGGGCTCTGCACCAGGCGTTTCTTCTTTGTTTCCTCTTCTCTTCTGGGAAGGGATGAAGGAGATCCTTTGCGAGAGGCATGTTCTCGTATGGGTAGGTCGTCACTGCCAGAAAGGAGCCAATTTTTCTTTTCTTTTTTTTTTTTTTTTTTTTTTTTTTTTTTGAGACAGAGTCTCGCTCTGTCGTCCAGGCTGGAGTGCAGTGGCCGGATCTCAGCTCACTGCAAGCTCCGCCTCCCGGGTTCACGCCATTCTCCTGCCTCAGCCTCCCGAGTAGCTGGGACTACAGGTGCACACCAGCACGCACGGCTAATTTTTTGTATTTTTAGTAGAGACGGGGTTTCATCGTGTTAGCCAGGATGGTCTCCATCTCCTGGCCTCATGATCCACCCGCCTCGGCCTCCCAAAGTGCTGGATTACAGGCGTGAGCCACCGCGCCCGGCTGGAATTTTTATTTTCACTGGAATTTGTGGTGGGGCTTCCAGAACTTAGCAATAAAGGGAGGAGGGTGGGGAATCCCAGAACGTGGCAGAGAGCAGCGGCTGGGGGTGACAGCAGTTGCTCTCTGGAGTGATTCTGGTTTTCTCTTGATTTCAGCCTCTCTGCTTTTTTTCCATTTAAATAGGCTAGAGTCAGTCTGTTTTCAGGCTCCTTTTGAAGTATGTTAACAATTGCCCAGAGTAGAGCAACAGACAGGTCTCCCTGGCCTCCTGTGGGGGCCACATGGTGGGATTTCCTTGACTCATTTTATTTTAAAATAATGTATTTGTCCTTTTTGGGTTACTATAACAAACGTTCTATCGACTGCGTAGCTTGAACAACAAACATTTGTTTCTCACAGTTCTGGAGGCTAGAAATCCAAGATCAAGGCACCTGCAGATTTGGTGTCGGGTGAGGGCCTGTTTCCTGATTGACAGATGCCGCCTTCTCTCTGTCCTCACTGGAGTAGGGGTGAACAAGTCTCTTTTATGTTTATTTGTTTATTTGTTTATTTTGGATGGAGTCTTGCTCTGTCACCTGGGCTGGAGTGCGGTGGCGCGATCTCAGCTCACTGCAACCTCCACCTTCTAGGTTCAAGCGATTCTCCTGCCTCAGCTTCCCGAGTAGCTGGGACCACAGGCACATGCCACCACACTCGGCTAATTTTTTGTATTTTTAGTAGAGACAGGATTTCACCATGTTAGCCAGGATGGTCTCGATCTCCTGACCTCGTGATCCACCTGCCTTGGCCTCTCAAAGTGCTGGGATTACAGGCATGAGCCACTGCGCCTGGCCTATGTTTGTTTATTTTTCTGAGACAGGGTCTTGCTCTGTTGCCCAGGCTGGAGTGCAGTAGTGCAATCATGGCTCACTGTAGCCTCCACCTCCTGGGTTCAAGTGATCCTCACACCCCAGCCTCCTGAGTAGCTTGGACCACAGGTATGCACAAGTGTGCCCTCTTTTCTAAGGGCACAAATCTCATTCCTGAGGGCTCTGGCTCCATGACCTGATCTCCTCCTAAAGGCCCCACCTTCTAATGCCATTACCTTAGGGGCTAGGATTTCAGCACATGAATCTGGGGACACAGACATTCAGTCCACAGCAAATGACAGTTGACTCAGCCTCCTCTTCATCAACAGCAACACAAGAAAGCAACAGTTAGGCAAGACCCATGGGTAGCCCGAGCCACAGGTATTGCCAGGGATGTGAGGGGTGTGAGGACCAAGTGCCCAGCTCCCTCTTCACTCATTTGTGTTCACATTTGATTCAGGCAACCTTAAGCCTGGGAATGACTGGGCGTGCAGCGAGACCTGCTCCCCCATTCGCTGGCCCACCAGACAGGCTGCGGCTCTGACTTCCTTATGGCAATATCTATGACACCACCAAAAGATGATTTGCTCAGTCTCTTCAGAACTTCCTGTGAAGTGACATTTAATGGTAGCATCCGTAAAGTGCAGTCACATTTGATCAATTTTCTTTGAGTCGCCTGTGAGGAAGGGCAGTGAAGGCATTCCCAGTGGGAGCCCGAAGCCCACGCCAGGGCGGGTTGGTAGCAGCTCGGAGCCCTGCCCGCCTTGGGGCGCGTCCCGGGAGAGCAGAGCTCACACAGGCTCGCGGGCTCGGCTCTTCTCGGCTGGGACCGAAGCACTCGGCACTGCATTGGCACAGGCTGAATGATTAGGTTTCACTTTTTTTATGTCATCTCAGCTTACGACATTGATGTTGTGTTTGCCAGGGTCCCCGTCCACAGCACCCCAGTTAGACACTCATCTGGGCCAGCACCACAAAGACTGTTGAGCGCACGGCGTGCGTCAGCCTTGCCCACACCTGCCAGGCGGCGCTTCTCTGGCCTTCCACCGATGACCCCCAAAATGATGCCCAGGGCCGTGGCCTCTCCCCTGTGTGTGCCAGCCCGGAGACTTTCCTCTGAGCCCCGCAAGAACTCTGCGATGAGGTAAGAGATGAAGGTGATAATAAGTTGGTCTCAAATTCCTAGGCTTGGTGTCCTAGACATTGACATACCTTTTTCTTGCCTTGCTCCAGGGTTTAGTGAAGTAAATAATACTGGGAAAGTTTTGTTTTCTTTTTTTTTAATTGCAAAGAGAAAATGCAATAGACATGAGCATAGAGGAAAATTAAAGGTATTACAAGGAAATACTGCCTGTAATTATCTGATAATCAATCTGAAAACCTAATGCTTTTCTAAAATTTGCAAATTATTGGCTGGGTGTGGTGACTCACGCCTGTAATCCCAGCACTTTGGGAGGCTGAAGCAGGCAAATTGCCCGAGCTCAGGAGTTTGAGATCAACCTGGGTAACATGGCAAAACCCCATCTCTACAAAAAATACAAAATTAGCCAGGTGTGGTGGCATGCACTGTAGTCCCAGCTGTTTAGGGGGCTGAGGTGGGAGGATCACTTGAGCCCAGGAGGTTGAGGCTGCAGTGAGCTGAGATTGCCCCGTTGCACTCCAGCCTGGGGGACAGAGTGAGACCCCATCTCTAAAAAAATAAATAAAGTAAAATAAAATAAAATAGAATAAAATAAAATAAAATTTATCTAAATTGACCCAAGGACACATGAAGTAAGCCATAGCTGCAGCTCAGAAATAATTAAAGACTAAAAAAGGCACCTGACTCTGATGAAGTCACACCTCAGTCGTGTATAACTTTTGAAACAGATCATGCTGGTGTGTAAAGTTAAATATCTCAGCCGGGCACGGTGGCTCACGCCTGTAATCCCAGCACTTTGGGAGGCCGAAGCGGGGAGATCACGAGGTCAGGAGTTCAAGACCAGCTGGGCCAAGATGGTGAAAGCCCATCTCTACTAAAAATACAAAAAAAATTAGCTGGGTGTGGTGGCGGGCGCCTGTAGTCCCAGCTACTCAGGAGGCTGAGGCAGGAGAATGGCGTGAACCTGGGAGGCAGAGCTTGCAGTGAACTGAGATTGCGCCCCCTGCACTCCAGCCTGGGTGACAGAGCAAGACTCCGTCTCAAAAAAAACCCACAAAAAACACACACAAATAAATTGTTATTTATCTGGAAGAAAATTAAATCTGACCTAACTTACATCATGGAAAAAAAATTCAGATGACTTAGATACTTAAATATAACAAACAAAAGAAGAAAAAAGTTAAACACTGGGAGACTGTGTGAACACGCTAAGTGCAGGAGACCTTTGTCACTGTTAAAAGCCAGGGAGTGAAGAGCCGCCTGCCACCGCCAAGAGTGTTGACATTTAAATCCCCTGTTTTTATTTATGGCTAAAATGACCATAAATGAAGTCAATAGACAAATGGTCGACTATGAAACAACATCGCAGGCAAAGGATATGAATAAGCTCAAATGGTCAACAACCCCTGGGGAGAGACCCAAATTCACTAGTGTCAGGGAAATGCAGTTTATAGTAACTGTGCAAAGGTCTTGATAGACGCATCCACATTCACACTGTCCGGGCAGGAGGCGGGAGGGGGAATCTGAACATTGCTAGTAGAAATGTGCATTGTGATCGTATTTTGTAGAAAGGCATTTGTTGGCCAGGCGTGGTGGCTCACACCTGTAATCCCAGCACTTTGGGAGGCCGAGGCTGGCGGATCACCTGAGGTCAGGAGTTGAAGATCAGCCTGGCCAACATGGTGAAACCCTGTCTCTACTAAAAATATAAAAATTAGCCAGGCATCCTGGTGGGTGCCTGTAATTCCAGCTACAAGGGAGGCTGAGGCAGGAGAATTGCTTGAAACCGGGAGGTGGAGGTTGCAGTGAGCCAAGATCACGCCACTGTACTCCAACCTGGAAGACAGAGCAAGACTCCGTTTCAAAAAAAAAAGCCATTGGCTGATATGTGAAATTTTTCTTTTTTTTTTGCTTTACATGTTCAGAGAAACTGCTCTAGTAACAAACTATAGAGAAATGAGCCCTGACAGTATAGTCTTAACATGTCAAAATTTAACTACACATATACCTCTTTTTTTTTGTTTGTTTTCTGTTTTGCTTTTCTTTTTTTTGAGACGGAGTCTCGCTCTGTCGCCCAGGCTGGAGTGCAGTGGCACGATCTTGGCTCACTACAAGCTCCACCTCCCGGGTTCACGCCATTCTGCCGCCTCAGCCTCCTGAGTAGCTGGGACTACAGGCGCCCGCCACCACGCCTGGCTAATTTATTGTATTTTTAGTACAGATGGGGTTTCACCGTGTTAGCCAGGATGGTCTTGATCTCCTGACTTTGTGATCCATCTGCTTCAGCCTCCCAAAGTGCTGGGATGACAGGCGTGAGCTACCGCGCCCGGCCTATACCTCTGTTAATTACACATACCTCTGAGCTGCCACAGGTGGGAGACTACAGTTCACGTGCAGAGATGTTCATGGTGACAAAGACTGGAAGTCGGCTGGGTGCAGTGGCTCACACCTGTAATCCCAGCACTTTGGGAGGCCAAGGTGGGCGGATCATGAGGTCAGGAGTTCGAGACCAGCCTGGCCAACATGATAAAACCCCATCCTACTAAAAATACATAGCCAGGCGTGGTGGCAGGCACCTGTAATCCCAGCTACTCGGGAGGCTGAGGCAGGAGAGTCATTTGAACCCAGGAGGCAGAGGTTGCAGTGAGCCGGGATCGTGCCATTGTACTCCAGCCTGGGTGACAGGGTGAGACTCCATCTCAAGAGAAAACAAAGACTGGAAGTAAATGACCAGGTAGCCTTTGGGGCATGCATTAGCTTGCACCAGCTGATGTGGACGCATTTCCGGAAGAATTCTTGAGAAAGGATGCAGAAAAGAGAGTTTCGTAAGTACAATTCCACTTTACAAACGAAACTGTGGCTGAGAGTAAAAGCCCTTTGTCTGTTAAAAATATACATACAGGGCCGGGCGCGGTGGCTCAAGCCTGTAATCCCAGCACTTTGGGAGGCCGAAACGGGCGGATCACGAGGTCAGGAAATCGAGACCATCCTGGCTAACACGGTGAAACCCCGTCTCTACTAAACATACAAAAAACTAGCCAGGCGAGGTGGCGGCGCCTGTAGTCCCAGCTACTCGGGAGGCTGAGGCAGGAGAATGGCGTAAACCCAGGAGGTGGAGCTTGCAGTGAGCTGAGATCCGGCCACTGCACTCCAGCCTGGGCGACAGAGCGAGACTCCGTCTCAAAAAAAAAAAAAATACATACAGGCCGAGTGTGGTGGCTCACGCCTGTAATCCCACCACTTTGGGAGGCCGAGGCAGGCAGATCACGAGATCAGGAGTTTGAGAGCAGCCTGGCCAACATGGTGAGACCCTGTCTCTACTAAAAATACAAAAATTAGCTGGGCATGGTAGCAGATACCTGTAGTCCCAGTTACTCGGGAGGCTGAGGCAGGAGAATCGCTTGATCTTGGGAGGCAGAGGTTGGGGTGAGCCAAGATCGCGCCACTGCACTCCAGCCTGTGCGACAGAGACCCTGTCTCCAAAAAATAAATAAATAAATAAACACCATATATAATATCCACGTATTTATACACAAATTACATATTTTTATATATCTTGTATGTTTCTATGTATGTACATCTACTAACAGTAGGTGTTGACCCTGTGTGTATCTATGTAGTTTTATGAAAATGTAGAAGACTCTGGAAGAAAAAATGCTGGCATGTGTGTGTGTTACAGAGGGAGATGGAAAGGCATGGAATACCCACGAGAAAATGAGAAACAAGGCCTCACTAAAAACACCAGATCTGATATGTAAATAGGAATATGTGTTTAACTGTCTTGTATGTTTGTAAGTGTAAATGTAGAAACAAACTTCTGCTTGTTTTGGACTCTTATGAAACCTCTGAAGTATTAAAAAGAAGAAGGTACTCTCTGTTAGTTGATGGACGTGCTGCTTTGCTGGGTTTCCGGAAGGAATTCAGTTTTGTGTGGCAGGTACTCAAGGACCTGTGGGCAGCAGGCAGGCCCAGCAGCGCCCATGCGGGGTCCTGCAGGAGACACCATTGGAGAGCAGGCATGGGCAGCCTGCACCCGGGGCCTCAGCCCTGATCAGGGCACTGGGCAGCAGGGGAGGGGGCATCTGGGGCAGGAGGAGCCGGCTGCATACCCACCTAGGCCTAGGAGGAGCCCCGCACTGGCTGCATGTGTGAAGGAGCTGCCGTGGCTCAAGGAGGGGTCCCCGTGTGTGGTCTGGGCTCCCTTCAGGAGGTGACGGGCGCATTACCTCGTGTTTAGTAACTGGAAAGAAAAGGGCTAACAGCAGGCCCTGGTGATGCTGGACAGGTAAGATTTGTGAGCTGAGAGGAACTGGACAGATCACTGAACCCCTAACATACACAGGAAACCCGGGGTCTGGAGGGTGAAGGCCCTAGAGCCTCCACCCAGGACACTCCACCCAGGACACTGTTCCTCCAGAGTGACCCGATTCCCGGATCAGCCAAGTGAATGAGCATTTTAGATAAATTTCCTCATAAGATTTTTTTCCTTCCCACAGAACTGAACCAACAATGGAGAGCAATAGAAAGGCAGATTCCCGGCCGGTGGACGTGTCCCCTGACGGGGGTTCTCCTCCTTCCTGTGTGCCTCAGGCACTTAACTTTTCTCCAGAGGAAAGCGATACTGTTTTCTCCAAAAGCACCACCACAGAAGCAGCTCGGGAGGAAACCAAGCCGGGTGGAGATGCAGCCCCTAGTGAGGTGGGCAGAGCAGGCGCAACTTGGTTCTATTAGCTGAGATTCCTGGAGGCTGCTCCGGAAGCCCCTGGAACCCAGGGCTGTGGCTGGCGGAGTTCCCTGCCATGCTTCATCCTGGGGCCAGTGCCTCTGTGCCAACCAACCCAAAGGGAGGCAGTCAGGACTTCCAGGCCTCCAGGGGAGGAAAAAGTGACACCTTTGCCCTGTATTTGACTAAGGCAAGGGTCAGGGATCGAAGCTGAGGAAGCAGGAAGCAGGGTGGCAGGAGCTGGTAGCTGTTGGTGGGCGGGTATGGACAGGGAGGTGGGCGACAGTCAGAGAGGCACGGCCTGCCCCACACAGGGCCTGCTTCCACCAAGGCCCCACCTGATTCCTTGGCTTTCCAAACCTCCAGCCCACCTGGAACATGAGCAAAGCACACGTTCTCCCAAGATGGTTGCCAGCAAGATGCTGGACTCTGCTCTTAACCTTGGTTTTGTACCCAGGCTCTTCTTGTAGATATCAAACTGGACCCACTCACCGTCACTCCAGATGCTGCAAGCCAGCCCCTCGTTGACCCCCCTCTCATTGACTTCTGCAATACTCCAGAAGCAAACGTGGCTGTGGGATCTGAAAGCAGGCCTCTGATCGACCTCATGATAAACACTCCAGACATGAATAAAAATGTGGCCAAACCTTCACCGGTGGTGGGACAGGTGAGAAGTGGCAGGTGATTTGTGTTGACTTAGCCCTCGCTGTCCTCAGTTCTGGGTTTGTTCGTCCTCCCAGGGCCATCGTGGGACCCTTGAGAGTGGCTGTTGAGTCTTCTCAGCTACTCACCTCAGGGCAGGACTCACCTTTGGCAGCCTGAGCTTCTCAAAGATCAGCTGCCTCTGAGGTGCCCTGCCAGGACCCTGCCAGCTCTTGTTGGGCAGGGACCGCCTCTCTCCTGCCCATAGACCCCAGGGCCAGATGTGGGACAGAGGAGTGTGCATAATGGGGGCTTGGGTTTCTCCGTGTGTGTCTTGTCTCCTTCCAGCTTCTTAGACGTGGTGGCCCAGAGTGCTTTTCAGTGCACCCGAGCCAGGATGACCGAGCTGTTGTGATGGCCCAGGCAGCCAGTGCTCTGTGTGGGGAGGGGAAGGGAGGCCCCGGCCGGATCCGCACTCACCTCCTCCCCTCTGCTCTCTTCCAGCTCATAGACCTGAGCTCCCCTCTGATCCAGCTGAGCCCTGAGGCTGACAAGGAGAACGTGGATTCCCCACTCCTCAAGTTCTAAGCAGAACCAAATCCTTTGCCTTGAAAGAACAGCCCTAAAGTGGTTTTCAACCCTCAGAAACAAGCTTTAGGCTGGGCACAGTGGCTTACACTTGTAATCCTAGAACTTTTGAGGCCGAGGTGGGCGGATTACTTGAGCCCAGGAGTTCGAGACCAGCCTGGGCAATATAGTGAGACCCCTGTCCCTACAAAAAATAAAAAATTAGCCAGGTGTGGTAGTGCATGCCTGTAGTCGCAACTACTTAGGAGGCTGAAGTGGGAGGATGGCCTGAGCTCAAGGAGGTGGAGGCTGCAGTGAGCTCTGATTGTGCCACTGTACTCTAGCCTGGGCAACAATGTGAGAGCCTATCTTGGGGGGGTGAAAAAAAGAAGCATGTTTTAGTAGAAATTGTATTCGAAAAAGAAAAATAAGCCGAAAGATATTCCCAGTGCTGGAGAGGGTGGGCTGAGGAACTGGGGCCAGCACTGACCACCCAAGGCCCCTGCTGCCGCCTCTGCCCTTCTCGCTGTCACTCTCTGGTCTGGAATGTGAAGTCTCAGTCACTCTAACTGAAGAATTTTCTTTTGAATGTTTTGTATGTAAAATAGCAAGTAGCTATTTTTAAAGTTAAGTTTGTGTAAAAAGTTAAATATTCTAGTTTTACATTAAATTGTAAAATAAATGGATTTATTGAAGCATATCTTGATTTTTAAGCTTATCGTGATTTTCAAGCATACATGACTATTTTTATCACTCTAATCAGTAAGGCTACTATCTAGACTCGAATGCTTTCATACAAGTGAGTTTCAAAAAATTAGTCAATAAAAATTGGTGTCAGTGCAGACCCAGACCCGCCCCCAGATACACTGGTCGCTAGGTCTGGGGCCAGCCCTGGAAGCGGCACTGTTACTAGGCACACAGGTGATTCTGACTCGATGGCCTGAAATGCACACCTTGAGAAAAGGCTGCTCTGGGGAAACGAAGGTATGAGTGGAAAGAGGATGGGCGAGGAGGCCGGGCTTACCTGGATACTAAGGTGACGGGTGGTGTCTGCTGGGCAGGCCTGGGGGAGGACCCCTCAGCTTTGCTCTCAGCAGGGGCCGGAGAGGCTCGGTGGGCAGTGGCAGGAACTGAGTGCCACTGGAAAGCCCATTCCCTTTACTTAAAAAATGAGCTGGCCAGGAAGCCACTACTTTGTGTCCATTTCTCCTGAGGAAACTTCTCACTATCTTGGTTGAGCGGCTTCACGGCTGACACAGCGAGCCAGCGGCCGGACTCTGTATTTCGGACCCTGCTCCAGTGCTCCCTGGATCATACCAGGATCTGCCTCTGTCCACAAAGACGAGGGAAAATGATGACTGTGCTGTGCTCTCTACTTCCTGTGGTTACCGCATGAGGCTAAAGCTGCCACTCGGAACAGCAAGTCCTGTGGCGTCGAGAGCAGGAAGGGGTCGGGTGGCCAGGCGATGCCACGGAAAGACGTCTCGGTGGAAACTGCCATGGTGGGAAGGTGGCGCGCTTGTCACGGCTGAGTTGCTGCGCCTGCAGACCTGCGCCAGAAGCCCTCCACAGGCAGGGCTACTAGGACGAGTGAGTCATGAAGCCAGAGAAGCCGCACTCCACGAGCAGTGACTCCCCAGGCAAGACTTGCAGCCAGTCCTGCGCTGGCCAGAGCCACAGGGCCTGTAGGAATCTCGGCGGCTCCACGTCTCCAGGGCAGCAGGGAATCCCAGGGGCCCGGTAGTGACACAGCAAGGTCCTCAGGGAGCCTCTGGTCTGGCCCTCATTTCCCAGGGGTAGAAAAGGAAATCTGGGCCGGGCGCGATGGCTCAAGCCTGTAATCCCAGCACTTTGGGAGGCCGAGACGGGCGGATCACGAGGTGAGGAGATCGAGACCATCCTGGCTAACACGGTGAAACCCCATCTCTACTAAAAAATACAAAAAACTAGCCAGGCAAGGTAGTGGGCGCCTGTAGTTCCAGCTACTCAGGAGGCTGAGCCAGGAGAATGGCGTGAACCCGGGAGGCGGAGTTTGCAGTGAGCTGAGATACGGCCACTGCACTCCAGCCTGGGCGACACAGTGAGACTCTGTCTCAAAAAAAAAAAAAAAAGAAAAGGAAATCTGAAATCGGATTAAACCATGCAGCAAATATTTACTGAGGCTCTGCTATGGGTCAGGCTGTTTTCTGCTGGGGGGCAGCGCTCAGGTACCCCTTCCCTCTTGGGGCTTCCCGCTTGGTAGAGGAGGGAGATGTTCAGCTCCCAGCCCATTTGTAACCAAGCTGTGCCTTGGTTGTCTCCATTCAGGCCCTGGGGGTGAGCCGAGCCTTTGGCCTGTGGCCCCAATCCTGCTGCTGGGGCTCCTCCCCACTGTGCCCTTCCCCTCCCTGCTGAGGCCTCGGTGCAGCCAGGCTCTCCTTGGTTCCCAGGCTGGACAGAGTGATCTGACTTTAACTCTTTTCAGACAGACGGGAAGAGGGCCCTAGGAGCAGGAGCTGGACAGAGCAGAGCTGCTCCTGTCCTGAAGCTCCAGGCCTGTTCCTTTCTGTCTGGGTCTTTCCACTGGGCTTTTCCTGCCGAAGCTGCCCAGTCTCAGCACCCCCACTCCCTTCCTCACCTAGTGCCCAGGCCCTTGGTCCAACCCTCAGAGGTCTCCGGGTGGGAAGATGCAGTTAGCTGGGGACTGAAGGACTCCATGACCCCAGGAGGGCCAACCCCTTTCTCCACCTCGGCTGCCGCTGGAGGGCCACCCTTCCAGGTTCAAGAGGTCCAACTTCATGGGATTTTTACCACATTTCATTAATTTTGTGGAGCAAATGTCTTCCCATTTTATAGCTCTGAAATCCACGTCTCTGACATTGCTGTTGGCAGGCGGCACCTGGGACGTCGTCATCCTGCCCATAGCTGGCCTGTATCAGACCTGAGTGATACACAGGGGCCTCTTGGAGCTACAGAGTAACTAAAATACCATATAGTTCACCAGAAAGCAGAAAATAGGTGAGCATGGATCTCAGCCACTTTGTGGGTTGGTTGCAACTGGGACTCAACCTGCCATAACCTTAGGTCAGCCTGCCACACCCAAGGAGGGCCTGCCCCTACACCCAGACTCAAGTTTAGACACAGCCTAAACGTGTACCTCTACATCTGCACAAGCTCAGGTGCCCAGATACTGGATTTCCTTCTCTCTTCCGGGAAATGCAAAATGAAATTGCCTTCCTGTTGGGTATTTTCCTGATCCTTTATTCTGAAAAAGTGGTCATCCTTTTCCCCACAGGCCCTGTGACCTCTTCCTCCTGTCTTGCAGCTCACTGTGTACCTCCTCCTGGCACCAGTGCCCAGTGCTCTCCTATTGGTAGTTCCTGCTTCTCTTCTTGGAAATTCCTCGTGGGCCTCGAGATCTTTACCTTATAACAGTTCTGTTGAATTTCACCCTGGCAATGTAAATCGATAGCTTATCTTCACAGATGCCAGACAAAGGACAGAACTCACCGTCAACCCTCTGCTCACCTGAGACAAATGCATGTCTGATTGCTTCCTCTGCCCTATCTATGTAAAAATGCAGATTCACTGAGCCAGACTAAGGCATAAATGACTGTTCCTCTACCTGCCTCTCATATGGAAATTGTGTATTCAGTGAAAGGCTGATCAAAGACCCAAAATACTGCAACAGTTTATATCTTATCTACCTATGACCTGGGAGCTGCCCACCGCCCCTAGTTGCTCTGCCTTTTCCGAGAGAACCAGGGTACATCTTACATGTATTAATCGATGTCTTGTGTCTCCCTAATATCTAAGCAAGCTGTGCCTCGACCACCTTGGGCACATGTCCTCAGGACATCATCCTGAGGCTGTGTCACAGGCACGTCCTTAACCTTGGCAAAATCAAGTTTCTAAATTGAGACCGTCTCAGGTACTTTGGGTTCGTACCACAAGGAAGGGTTCTCATGCATATGTGCCTAATAATAACAACTATCACAGAGGACTGCAAAAACCACAACCTTTACACAAAGGCTATTGCAACCTTACTCAAAAAAAAAAAAAAAACAAAAACAAAAACAAACTTCTGTTGCAAGGACATCTGCCCAGCAACTGCCTGTCCAACCCTGGACTGGTGTCACCCTTATTGATCCTTGTAGTCAAAGAATTATCTCAAAACAATGATGTGATCCTCATTTTCCCTTTAAAAACCTTTGTCTTCCTAGGCTGGGCACGGTGGCTCACACCTGTAATCCTAGCACTTTGGGAGGCCGAGGCGGGCAGATCACAAGGTCAAAAGATCGAGACCATCCTGGCCAACATGGTGAAATGCCGTCTCTACTAAAAATACAAAAATTAGCTGGGCGTGGTGGCGTGTGCCTGTAATCTCAGCTACTCGGGAGGCTGAGGCAGGAGAATCGCTTAAACCCAGGAGGCAGAGGTTGCAATGAGCTGAGATTGTGCCACTGCACTCCAGCCTGGTGACCGAGCGAGACTCCGTCTCAAAAAAATAAATAACTAGGCCAGGCATGGTGGCTCATGCCTGTAATCCCAGCACTTTGGGAGACCGAGGCGGGCAGATCACAAGGTCGGGAGATCGAGACCATCCTGGCTAACATGGTGAAACCCCATCTCTACTAAGAAAAACACCAAAAATTAGCCAGGCGTGGTGGCAGGCGCCTCTAGTCCCAGCTACTCGGGAGGCTGAGGCAGGAGAATAGAGTGAACCCGGGAGGCAGAACTTGCAGTGAGCCAAGATCACGCCACTGCACTCCAGCCTGGGCAACAGGGCGAAACTCCATCTCAAAAAAAAA